CTAAGCTTATTCCTCCTGTATAACTGAAAATTTATATTTTTTTAATCATCATCTTCCCAACTCCTCCCCTAGTACCCACTGGTCTCAGGTTCTGGTAATTTTCTAGCTTGTTTCTCCATTTCTGTGACAAAACACTCTAACCAAAACCAACTTGGGGAGGAAAGGGTTTATTCAGCTTAACATCTCCCAGGTCACAGGGAGCCCAAGGTAGGAACTCGGGGCAGTCACCTGGAGGCAGAAGCTGAAGCGCAGGCCATGGAGGAACACTGCTTACTGGCTTGCTCCCTGGCCCTTGCTCAGCCTGCTTTCTTATACAATACAGAACAACCTGCCCATGGATGGCACCACCCGTACTGGGCTGAGCCTTCCGACATCTCTCTCAACAATCAAGAAAATACCCCGCAGACATGGCCTCAGGCCAGTTCAATGGAGGAAATTCCCCAATCCAGGCTCCCTCTATCCAGGTGTGTCAGGTTGACAACTAAAGCTATCCAGTACAGGTAATAATGATCTTTCCATCTCTACTTTTGTGCTTCCAAACATAATGTCCTCCCAGGCCATCTGTGTCCTCACAAATAACATGATTTCTTTCCTTCACTTTTCTTTCCTTCCTTTATGTATATGAACCACATTTTCCCTATCCATTCAGCCATTGATAGGCACTGTGACTGGTTTGTTTTTGTTGTTGTTTGTTTGCTTTTTTGTTGTAGTTTGTATTTTAGCTATTGTGGAGAGTGTTGTAGTGAACACGAGAGTACAAATGTCTGTTTGACATACAGATTCGACATACAGATTCACTTCCTTTGGATATATAACCAATAGGAGAACTGCTGAATCACATGGTAGTTCTATTTTTATTTTTCCTGAGGAACCTCCATGCCCTTTCGCAGGACAGCTGTATTAATTTGTACTCTGGAGCTAGAGAGATGGCTCAGCAGTTAAGATCACCAGCTGCTCTTGCAGAGGACCCGGGTTCTATTGCCAACACCCACATGGTGGTTAACAACTGTACATAAATCCAATTCCATGGAATCCAATGCCCTCTTCCATCCTCCAGGGGCATTGCCTGATATGAGTGCACTTATATACATGAAGGCAGTACACTCATACACATAAAATAAAAATAATAAGCGATTAGATTGATTTGTACTCCTACTATATTAACAAATTGCAAGTGTTCCATTTTCTTCAAAATTTTTACCTTTCACGTTTTTGCTGGGAAGCATTCTAAGAGGTTTGAAGGTATGTCTCACTGTATACTGTATATTTAATTTGTTCTTAATGACAGATAATTTTGAGCAATTTTTACAAACCTCTCAATCATTTGCATGTGTTCGTCTGAGAACTTTGCCAATGCTGTTTGTTTTACTATTGAATTATTTGAATTCCCTGCATATTTTGGATACTTAACATACCAGATGCAGATATTTTCTCCCATTCTCTAGGTTGTGTCTTCATTCTGTTGATTATTTCCCTTGCTGTGCAGAAGCAATAGGTTGATGCAATTCTATTTGTCTGTTTTGGCTTTCATTTCCTATGCTTTTCAGATCCTATCCAAAAATGACTGCCAAGATCAATGCCATGAAACCTTCCCGGTTTTTTCCTCCTGTTACTTTCTAGTTGTGTTACATATCATTTCTAACAGTCAAATGTCTAATCCATTTTGAATTGATTTTTATATGTTATTAGATAACCATCTATTTTTATTATTCTACATGTAACTATCCAGTCTTTCCAACACTATTTGTTGAAAATAATTTTGCTTTTTTCCACGTGTCATTGATTCCTTTGTTGGAAATCAGTCAACCATAAATGCCATGATTTATTTCTGGGTTCTCCATTGGGTTCCATAGGCCTATGTGTCTGTTTTCATGCCAGTACCATACTACTGTGATTACTTTCACGTGGCAACACATTTCTTATATATTCATTTCAATGTAAACCAAACAAATGTACATTTATATGAAAATATTGATCTAGAGACATTTAATTTTATTTGAATATGCATTTAGCAACTAAAATCCTGGAATAGTGTTCTTTTGTTAATTTCACCCTAATGTGTCATGCTCTATAATTTCCAGGATGTTAATCTAGTGTGAAATAAAAGCATAAGAACATTTTCAAAGTAAGCCAAATGGAAAATCTTTCTAAATACTTATGATTTTTCTAATCTTCTACAATTTTAAAGCACATATAAACCAATAACAACTTTGTTTAAAACATGTCATATTCTATAGTATTTAACTTAATTTCTATAGTAACCACGATGTTCTTACATGAATGAATCCACAAAATATTAAATTATATAATTACATAGATGGAGATTAACACAGAGATCCACAACTGGCCAAGGTGAGGAAAATAAGAGAAGGCGGAATGCTCAGCCCTAAATGGAACAACTATATTACTCCCCCTCCTCCAAGGCGCAGGGATCATAGGGGAAGAGGAAGCACAAAGATTCTAAGAGTCAGAGGTGGTAGTTGAATACAAGGTAACCCTTTTGTCCGGAAACCACAAAGGACTTGCATATGTGAAACCACAGTGCTTATGACAGCATGCATAAGCCCAAGCCAGACAAAAAAACCCACCATGAATGGGGGAGGTAGGCAAGAAACCCCAACCCTAGCTGAGGAACTGTTGGCAATTGATAGCTTCTGGGAGAGAGGGAGTCTGTTTTCTTTAAGGATGTGACACGAGGTAGGTTGACCAGGCTCCAAGGGATAGACACAAACATAAGAGTATTTGTGGAACACAAATCAGATTGGATAGGCAGGGTATGGTGGCACATGCCTTTAATCCCAGCACTCAGGAGGGAGAGGCAGGTGGATCTCTGTGAGTTCGAGGCCAGCTTGGTCTCCATAGCAAATCCAGGCCAGCTAGGGCTACAGGAAGAGCCTGTCTCAAAAAGACCAAAATAAAAATAATAAATAAATAAATAAATAAATAAATAAATAAATAAATAATA